AATACTTCATTCCATATTTAGTTTAGCTTTCAAAAATTGCTAATTACCTTATTTTCAACGGATCATACTTCGACATCTATAATTCACTACTGCATTGCGTTACCAGAATGCCTTCGGAATTCCTGGAGAATTGCATCAGTACAATTCTAATTTGTTAATAACAGACTTGACCTATCAGGTTAAAGGACGATGTTGCATGTCAAGTTGTGCAAGAAAACATCATGGCAGAAACTGCTTTGCATCAAAAGTTTGCCTACTATTGAAAACATTCAACTAAGATAATGATTAAACTTTTGGCTTTTTTTCTCACAGACATCATAAATTCTGATGGTGTGTAAATAATATTGTAATAAAACATGCATATTTTTTGTGATCATTTCTGTTCTGACATTGTAAAGTGTTGTGAAAATCAATGACAATGCAACTCATTTTGCAATTTTAATTCCACCAAAAAGGACGTACGTAACTATTCCCTCTAATCTCACCCATGGTAAACAAAAATTGTCTTTTGGCTAATTTTTGAAGTGGGGGATCGACACCCACCCCCTTAAAAATAATGATTTTGTGAGCTTAGTACTAGATACAAAGAATAGGACAAAGTATATAGGCCTAATTTGAGCAACCATGTGTTGGCTTCTCTGTTAACTGTCACATGCCACTCTGCCCAATTTGTCTAAAAAACCCAAAAGTTCTGCATATCAGATGAGATTTGAATATTAATCATATATAATAACTCAAGTTATTCAACTTCGTTCTCAGTTGTTTTCAATCATATTTTTCAAAGAATATGATCAAGTTAATTGTATTCCTTGCAGTCAAACCTCAAACACACATTGACAATTTAAATTTGCTATTATATAGTCCTGAATTTCAATTATGAACTAAAATGAACATAACAGTTAACTGCATAATGAAAATTTCATTGACAAAAGAATATCTATATATCAAATATACCTTTTAGCTTGTATGGGTGTTGATATTCAGTTAGTCCGAGAGCATGCACAGTCATAAATTGTAATCATTACCATTTGTCAAAAATAAAGGTTGGCATCTCTCTACAAGTTATTATACTGATAAACAAATCATATTATTTACTTTCTCTGTTTTATGTTACAATATTTTATTTAGTGTGACCTGATCACTAATGTTATTATTTCTCATATTACAGGTAACCACATTTGTTAAATGGCTAGAAGAAGCAGATGAGGAGAGTGATAGTGATGATGACGATGATGACAGTAATTAGGATGTTCTGTAATATATAGACAAATAAAACAACCTTGGTTATCCTGTATATTTTATTATTTATTTATTAGTCAATCAGAATGCAGAGCAATGAGATTACGTTAAATGCAGCCAATCAGAATGTATAGAATTCAATCAATCAGAATACATAGCATTCAGCCAATCAGAATTCAGAGCATTCAGCCAATCAGAATGCATAGCATTCAGCCAATCAGTTTGCGTAATATTCAACTAATCAGAATTCAGAGCATTCAGCCAATCAGATTTTGTAACATTCAGCCAGAATGCATAACATTCAGCAAATCAGTTTGTGTAACATTCAGCCAATCAGAATACATAGCATTCAGCCATTCAGTTTGTGTGACATTCAACCAATCAGAATTCAGAGCATTCAGCCAATCAGTTTGCATAACATTCAACTAATCAGAATGCATATCATTCAGCCATTCAGTTTGTGTGACATTCAACCAATCAGAATTCAGAGCATTCAGCCAATCAGTTTGCATAACATTCAACTAATCAGAATTCAGAGCATTCAGCCAACCAGATTTTGTAACATTCAACCAATCAGAATCCATAACATTCAGCCAATCAGTTTGTGTAACATTCAGCCAATCAGAATGCATAACATTCACAATCAGTTTGTGTAACATTCAGCCAATCAGAATACATAGCATTCAACTAATCAGAATGCATATCATTCAGCCATTCAGTTTGTGTGACATTCAACCAATCAGAATTCAGAGCATTCAGCCAATCAGTTTGCGTAACATTCAACTAATCAGAATTCAGAGCATTCAGCCAATCAGAATGCATATCAGTCAACCAATCAGAATGCATAGCATTCAGTCAATCAGAATGCATAGTATTCAGCCAATCAGTTTGTGTAACATTCAGCAAATCAGAATACATAACATTCAACCAAACAGTTTTGTAACATTCAACCAATCAGATGGTAACATTCAGCCAATCAGAATACATACCATTCAGCCAATCAGAATACATAGCATTC